CACTGCTTTTCTTTAATATGTTTGCTCTGTGATTTTGGTTTCTTAAATCTAAATTTAAATTTTACATATTAAAGCTAAATGAGAATTTAAAATTTTAAACCAATCGACATGTGAATTTTCATAAAACACAATTGACAAAATCGACAAGGGGAGGTTTGGAATATCGGGTGCCAATTGACGACAGAAAATGAACAATTGGAAATCTGGAATTTAAATGTTAATATTGAGTTAAGTGTGACAGCTACGTGAAGTGAAATACACCTGATGATGGCCAATGACGACCGAAACATGTAGTGTGAAGGAAGGGGGACAAGAACTAAATAAAGTGTTACATTTACGACAGAGTTTATATTAAACATATAGAAGTGTGGAATGTAACACTATGCTTAAATATAATATACTAAAAGAGTAACTTAAAATAGCCCATGAACTCTCGCTTCTACACTCTTTCGAAATAAACACATGCTGTGAACCAATCATTCGAGGGGACATATTTTGGATTACTGACAGTATCATAAAATGAATCATAATTGAATAATTATGTGACCCAAAATTAAATTCAGTCCCCATCTTTTCATGTATATCACCAATACCAGATTCCTTCTAAATCCATTCAGTAGTTTTGGAGATAAAACATGAACACATAAACATCCATGATCTCTACAAAGTGTGTCTACTCAGTAATGATGAGAGCACTAACGGAAGTAGTCACTCCATCACTTGCCTTAAGTTTAGGCATAAATCTACTGCAAAAATGAAGTTAAGTTAATAGTTATGTTGTTCTAAATAACAACACAAATTACAGAAAAAGAATACTGTGACATGACGCCTGAAACCCAGAATAGCAGATCCCAAGTAGATGTTCGCTGCTAGGCAATGACTTGGTAAACAGGTTCCTGTAGAAATAAACACAGACATAACAATAGAAGAACCGCCCTTTCTATACAATGGCAAGGTAAACACGTCTCTATAACAAGAGGAATTGTTAGGGAATGGTGTTTTCTGTTTGGGCCACTCTGAGGCTATGTAACGTGGATGCAAGGACGGAAGAATTAGAATTGAGGGAGTTCCTTGAGGTGACAGTTGAAGATGACTGAGAAGGGATGGCAACAAGCTCAGCTGGTAGTCAGGCTGTGAAGAGAAGACTTTAAGATGGGACACTTCTGCTGTTGGTCTATGCTGATGTGAATCTACTGGGTGATAATGTAGACACCATAAAGAAAAACACACATACTTTAATATATAATTAGAATGATTAAGTCAAGGAGGATGAGAGGGGCAGGGCATGTAGCACAAATGGGGGAGAGGAGGAATACATATAGGATATTGGTGGGAAACCCGGAAGGAAGGAGACCATTGGGAAGACCAAGCTGTATGTGGGTGGACAATATTAAAATGAATCTTAGAGAGATAGGATGGGATGGTATGGTTTGGATTGGTCTGGCTTTGGATAGAGACCAGTGGAGGGCTCTTGTGAAAACAGTAATGAATATTGAGGTTCCATAAAACGCTGGGAAGTTCTTGAGTAGCTGCACAACTGGTAACTTCTCAAGAAGGGTTCAGCTCCATGTATGAGTGAGTGAGTATTTCTGTGATAGTTCCTGTGTTAAAATCTGTTGCCAGGAAATACTAGTGAAGACTGAAAATCCTGGTGTGTGTGTGTGTGTGTGTAAAGGAGAACTAAGTGTGCAGATCAGCAATAGTGCTGTAATTATATGTAGCTCTGAGTGGTGTGTATAAGGTGTCAATAAATCCAATCACCCAATTCATACCCCATCTACATTCACTAATACACATGATAATACAGTAGAACTTAGTTATAACGTCATCAAAGGGACCTAAAAATAGTGTCGTTATAAACGAATGTCGTTGTAACCGAAATGGGCACTTCCACAGTAGCCTTATGTTAGTCACGTAAAAATCTACCAAAAACCGAGTTAAAATGTTGCATTTTTTAGTGAAATACGTAGTTAAGTACAGACTAACGTAACATTAACGTGGAATTGCCCAAATGTGTAATATCAAAGACATATTACAGCGCTTTTCACTGACAATACACACCGCACTAATACTGTATATTAAAGGTAGGCCTACTCACCAAATTACAGTAGATTACATCAATTGTTGTGCCTTACTGTACCTAGATACGAGTACAGTAATCAGTTATCTTCATCTGTTTCCTGTTACTTGCCCAATACACACTTTCTAAATTACGTTCAATGTCCATATCAGAGAAATTCAGGAATGAAAATGACGTTACATACGAGGTTGATGCATTTGTGCATGTCGTACTAAGCAAGGTATAAAAACAGTTGCTTTATGAGGAATTAGTTCGTACCATTGAATATTTGACGCAATAGACAAGGTGTCGCAGAAACCGATGTTGCTATAACCAAGTTTTACTGTATATTGTATTAAAATCGAAAACATTCAGAAAGATAAATCACAAATACATTTTCGAAAGGTATTCATCAATTCCGATCACATGTTTGGATGCCATTTATAATTAATTTAAATAACAAATTAAAAGAATTCACAATTTGAAATTAAAAATAGCATTTTATTACATTGTGAAGTTACAGCATCTTACAGGAAACAAATACTAATATACTACAAATTCTCGTAAGACTTGCAAGATGTGTTTCCCATGGCAGGTGGACACAATGACTGGACATAACCATACTGTCTTCATTCTTATATGCAGCTAGAATATGAGAATGCAGTATCTTATTTCAAGTAAGTTATACAAAACATGGTACAAAAATTAAATTAACATAGACTATTTTCAGTGTTCAGACTCTTGAATATGGGTCCAAAGATACATGTCCATCAGGCACCCTGCATTGGTGTCTAGTACATAAAAAATAAAAAAAAGATACACTCAATCAATACAACTTTCAAGCCTTCAAAATTCCAGAAACACATTAGAATAATGATTTATAATAACCTAGCTTACTGTCACATTCTTGTCGGAATAAATGCTGAACAATGAAAGCAAAAGACAGAACTTGAATTACAGCAGCTAAAATGGAATTTATGAGATGAACAGTAAAATACATTAAGACAGTATACAAATTAAATTAAATTAAAATAATTAAAAACAGAACCCATACTGAACAAAATTTTGGAATGCAAAACCCAGCAAGGTCAAAATGTCAAGAGAATGCAAGGAAGTAGACTTCGACAACTATTAATAATTACAAACAGCACAGGCCTAAGGAACTGTGGAAGATCTTCGAAAAGGCTGGTCATACTTTGGATGCAAGTCAGTACAACATTTCATGAATCTGGTTGGACCATGGTCTGGTGAATACTCAGCCTTGGGATTCCATAAAAGATGGGGAATAACAACTGAGCAATAATTAGCTTGTCAATGATTCCGCTCCATGGAGTTAGTGATTTCTGGGAAGGGAAATGCACTGGACCCAGTCACTCTCAAATCCTTTCCTGCCATAATCGTCCAGTCCCTTAGCTCCACAAAACTAGGTACAACCACACCGAATGATCTATTATGTCAATTAACAATTAAAGTAGTTTCATTCTATCTCACCCACTGAAATACATCTTACAAATTTGTTTCTCATTATGTGTCTTTATTTTTCTTTTAATACATAATACATGGCTTCTCAAATTGTTAGTTGTGATATACTGTAAGAGGGTTTGCATAGTTCTTACGACTACTCAGAAATATAGTTGTATCTGAGCACAATTTTGGTAGGTCGGTATATCAGTAGATTTTGGAAAAACTGGCTCCAGCCACGAAACCTTTCACACATTTTTCATGACTGTACAGGTACATTTTACAGCTTACTGTAGGTGTAGAGAGGCTGTAAAGCTATTTAGGTTCCTGCTGTCACCGTACAGCCTAATAGGGACCTGCAACAGTTGCAGAACTGCACTTTTCATGACTGTACATGAACATTTTATAGCTTACTGTAGGTGTAGAGAGACTGTAAAGCTATTTAGGATCCTGCTGTCACCATACAGCCTGATAGGGACCAGCAACAGTGTACAGAACTGCACTTTTCGTGACTGTGCAGGGACATTTTATAGCTCACTGTAGGTGTAGGGAGGCTGTAAAGCTATTTCGGTTCCTGCTGTCACCGTACAGCCTGATAGGGGCCTGCAACAGTGTGCAGAACTGCACTTTTCATGACAGTACAGGAAGATTCTATAGCTTACTGTAGGTGTAGAGAGGCTGTAAAGCTATTTAGGGTCATACTGTCACCGCACAGCCTGATAGGGACCTGCAGCAGTATGCAGAACTGCACTTTTCATGACTGTGCAGGAACATTTTATAGCTTTCTGTAGGTATAGTGAGGCTATAACGCTATACTGGCTACTGGTGTAACAATACAGACTTAAAGAGGTGAAGGTAAGGTAAAGCTATCCCTGTAACAGGCTGTGAAGGCCCATAGGGTTGTGAGATGTCAAGGTTCCCACATTGTCTCTAGACAATCAGCTCACAGATTGTGGTAAGGTTGTCAGCCATATGTGCCGGATGCCCTTTGCCCCCCAGGAAGATTCCTGGTATTCCTTTCTGTTAGAGGCTGAGTCAACCCCAGGGCCATAGTGTAGCTGGAAAAACTAGGTAAAGGGAAAAAATCCACCTCACTGGGACTTGAACCCACGACCTTCTGGCTTGTAGCAGTGCCTCAACCAACTACACTACTGCGTGCCCTCAGCCTTAAAGAGACTTATAAAAATGTGCAAAACTGCACTCTGTGCTAAATGGCAGAGACGGTGGGTTTACATAAATTCATGCATTATTTTGGGAGGCTGCAGCATTGAAGTCTGACATAATGTTTAGATAAAGTTGGGTTGTGTGAAACAACAGGTAAGAGAGAAAACAGCTAAAAGGAAAAAGACAGGAAAGCAGTGACACTGGATGTGGAAACTAGAGATATGATGTGAGGATATGACAAAAATGCAGCTGGAGGACAGCATGCAAGGATGGAGACCTGCCTAAAATGGCATGTGAAGCTGCAGACAACAGGAAAGAGTTCTCAAATATCTCCATTACAGTGAACTTTTGATACATAAGAACAACACACCTGCAAAGTTATAAAGTTGACTCTACATATTCAAGAGATTTAATACTTAAAAGAATCCAATAGCCACATGTGATGGAGGCACCTAATTACCGATGTGGTCTACAAACCCAACATTCTTAATTGGGTTAAAGAAGAACATGTTGTTGTGTGGTGATTCCTTCTGTGAAACTGCCTTGATGATCTCCTGAGCCATTACCCCTCCAACAATGGCACACACTGGGCTCACCTCCGCAAACACATTCCTGTTCATACACAGAGCTTAAAATACACCCCACTTTACAAGCTTTTTTCTTTGAGTGAGATTTGAGGTTCTTATAGTTCTGACTATGAAGACCATCTTCTGGGACATGGCACCATGTAGCCTAGTAGACAAAGGTAAGGTTGTACCTGAGCTTAAATAATTAAGCACTATGCCATGAAGATGTATAGGACAGTGGATGTATAGATCCTTGTTTTCTTGACCTTGGCACTTGGAGGTGAGTGGTCAGCTTCACGCCTCAGCCTCTTTACCCCGGGGGGAAAAAGCCCCTGGTACCCATTGGATAGGAGGCTGGGTGGGCACCACGGCCAGTCTGGATGACATGGAGAAGTGAAAATTCTTGCACCCATCAGGACTTGAACTCTGACCTCCTGGTCATCCAGCACAGCCAGTTGCTATACTGACTGTGCTATTCTAGCTCTTAGCCAGGTACAAATATTTCAGACGAAAAGGGTACCCTGAAGATGGAACCAACATGCGTCTCTGAAACATCTGTAATTGTCTGCCAGACTACAAAGCATCATGACCCATAAAACACTAATCTTCATATTCAATGCCACGAAAAACTCAAATCTCACATGGAAGGTTAAGTACTTCAAAGGTGGCCACACTCAGTAGAATTTAATCAGTTTTTCTTTCACAGAATTATTCAATTACTTGACCTTGCCATCATACCTGAATAAATTATCGGGCACTTTCTCCACTGGCACTCTCAACTTGGTAAGAACTTCATCCCGTATTTTACAGAGCTCTTCTATGTCTTTTTCCCGGTTCTTAGGGATGGGGTCATGCCCGTGTTTGCTGCGGAACCTAAGGAGCACTGAAACAAGACAATCCTGATTTATGCTGCTAACAGTTTCATAGGCTATTCAATGACAGTGAGATCCAGGATAGCCCAGACAGCAGTGAATGGCTACAGGTTGATAGCTCAAGTTTTGAATCCCAGAAGGGACATGATTTTTCTCTGTGCAATTGTACTTAGACTGGCTCTGGAGCCCTTCAAGCCTCCCACCTGATGGATACTGCAAGTAATTTTACGTGGGTCAAAACAGCTTGAGTCTGGAGCTCAAAAATCACCTCCATGTTGTGCTGATGTTTAATAAAGCATGGCAATCTTCCTATATGCCATCTATATGGCATTATTACTTGGGCGCAGGGAGAACTATACACTTACCTTATCGCATAACAGAACAGGTAATTTAAAGTCAAACCAGACAAGGAAATGAGCATGTACAGCAAAGCAGGAAGGACTACGTAGGAAGAAGTAATAGCCTATTTTGGGCCGTGCCATAGCTCAAGCGGTTAGTCGCTGGCTTTACACCATGGCAGCCCCGGTTCGATCTCGGGTCTGGTCAAGTAGGATTTGTGGTGGACAAAGTGGCACTGGGGTGGATTTTCTCCGAGTACTTCGGTTTCCCCTGCCAATCTTCATTCCACCAAATTTTCCATCATCATAATTACCCGGGGCAGGTACAATAGGCCAATCAGTGGCCGTCGTGCCGAGTGGACCCAACTGGACTCCNGTACAAGGGACTTAGTCCTACCTCACTAGAAAAAAAAAAGAGAGAGAGAGAATACCATCCTGCCATTCACCAACACTTGAGAAAAACCATGGAAACCATGCCAATATACTAGGTGTCCTAGCTGAGATTCAAACCAGGTACATCCCAAATACAAGTCATGTGAATTCCCTCTGAGGCAACCAGCTCACATTACCTCTCATGAGGAAGTATGAAGGATCTGCCTTTGGAACGCGTTTGGCATACGTTTCGCTCGACCAGTCAAATTCCAGTACATCCTGCAGGGGAACAAACGTTGCAGTTTGCTTTCTTGTTTCTTTCACAGGAGACAACTTGGCAACCTTTGCTGCAGGCTCCCCACTTTTCTGGCTCCTGGAAGCTTTGTGTACTGTTACCTCCCTGAAAAAAAAAACACTCGAACCGCTATAATCAATCACATAACCATTTGTGGTTAGCATATCAGCAGCGTAACTGTCCAGAAACTCAGAAAAATCTAGGTACAGTGAACTGTGCCTCTACATTATGAATGTTTTGAGCTACACAAATCTGCCCTTACCCAAATTATGAAATGTCACCATAAAACAATCTGGTCACATTAAGAATATAGTGGTTATGGTCATAAGTTATACATCTGGATGAAAATGTGGTTCCTTTCACAATGTCGTAAATAAATGACCAATGGGAATCCAGAAGTCAAGGCAGACAAATGAAGTGAGGGAAGACATACAAAAGAGTGGACATAAAGGTAAAGTTGTCTTTGAGCTTAACTAATTAAGCACTACACCATGAAGCTGCACAGGAGAGTAGTCAGCTTCACATCCTGGCTGCTTTACCCCCGGGGAAAGAGCCCTTTGTACCCACTGAATAGGAGGCTGGTTGGGCTCTGGAACCAGCCTGGAAGACATGAAGAAAAGAAAAATCTGGCCCAATGAATGTTTATGGGAGGGGAAAAGAATGAAGAAGGCTTCAGCTCTAATGGAAACATCAGTGAATAATGACTCAGTACTATGGTACTTAAATTATACTCACTCAGCATATTCATGTATCTGCAGGTCAGCAAATGTGTAACCAAACATTCCAAACACATCACCGCAGAAAAACTTGATACTCTTCTCTCGACATATCTGGTTGATTCGAATCAGCTGTTCAACAGAGCACTCCGTAGCACAAATCACATCAAATTCTCCAAAGAATGTATCTGGCTTGTCAGCAACATCTTGAGGATCAGCTGTAACCTTCACCATGGGATTGAGCTGCTGTGCTCTGCTCAGAGAAGCCTCTGCCCTCTGCAAAATGTAGTTAAAACATTAATAATCTTTATTAAAAGTTCGGTCTTCTGGGATATAAAAGGCAAAGTTGTCCTTGTGCTTAACTAATTAAGTTATATACCATGAAGACGTATGGGGGAGTGGACATAGAGATCCACGTATTCTTGACCTTTGTACCAGTTGGAGATGAGCGGTCAGCTTCCTGCCCCAGCTGCTTTACCGCCAGGGGAAGAACACAATACACAATCCTGACATATACTGCAACAATTTTAGCAAAATAGAAGGCACCTGATAATGGCCGTATACAGCTGAACCATGTAATATGGAAGAAGGGTGACTATATAATAAGTTGCATTTAAGACGAAAATATATGTGAAATAAATGATATATTAATTCTACAGGGTGCTTAAACACAATATTAGGAAAAGAAAACACTGGATGCATTTGTTCTTCTGTGACAGTTTAAACAGGGGCACTTATAGTGTTTCAAAAGAACTTAACCTGGATCCAGACTCCTTTGTCTCATGAGAAATTCTTTCCCAAGCCAAATCTGTTGTCTGTGTGTCTTTTGTTATATATACCAGGCCCTTGTCCAATTAACTGCATAAGAACAAAATCAGCAGCTTCGTCAACCTTTTGTGCCATCTTAAAAAACAAATGAATCACTGAAGTGTGTTATGGAACAGCTGACACTACGAAACCACGTGGCAATGCAATTGTGAGAACAGTAGCATGCTCCATTGCCTGGAAGTTGAGTTGCTCAGTCTTTCCGCGATTTGCGTTGCCATTTCCTCAATCTGTGCTCCTCCATTTGGTAACATGTGTTCAACTCAGGCTGATAACAATTCTCGGAAATTGCATTTGCCAATTTTCTTGGTTTGCCCTGTACTATACACGACAATACTGGCTGATGGTGTAGGCTGTTGAAATTCACTGGGCTACATGGCATTATACTCCAGAAGACAGAACTCTTTACTAGCTGACTGATTACAGAAACATAAAACAAGACAGGCAAAGGAAACACTTTCCCAAATGCATGCGTAGCACTGTTCATATTTCTGGTTCTGCTACTTGAAAAATACACAATCATAACAAATATTCCTAGCTATAGAAAGTAAGATGAAAGTGAAGTAAAGTAAACTACATTAATATAATTATCACTAATTAGAACTAACTAATCTATTTATCCACTGGTCACGGTAGCTGAGTGTTCAAAGGCATGCACTGTCTTTGCTCACTCGGAAGTGCATCTGAATCCCACTCAGGGCATGGATGTTTATTGTTTGTGTGTTTGTGTACAGGTAGAGACCTTGTGACAAGCTGATCACCCATCCAAGGAGTCCTACTGAATGTCTTAAGATGTAGCAAACTGAAGTGAAACGGAGAGTTTCATGGAGGTAGGTCAAGGTCCAAATTGGGGCTGTAGCGCCAAAGGAAAAAAAAAATCTATTTATCACTAGAAAAAGACTTGACAGACAATGCTGGTTGTGACTGTTCAGGAGCACTGAACCGTTTTTTGTCAAAATACTTTTCCTGGCTAGTTTATTTTTAAACACTTGCAATTTATTTATTCTGGAAAATAACACCATTTAGTCTGGGAGATTCCACCAACATTTCAGACAAACTGCTGCTGCCATCTTTAGATTTCACTTTGTCCTTCCATTTAATTCTACCCTGAAGATGGATGCAGCAGGTTCATCCAAAATTGTTGGTCTATATTTAGCAAACATGGCATCACATTCTAGAAGATCATAATTTTTGGAGTCATCCCCATGAGAACTTCAAATCTCATGTACTAAAAATTTTGTTAAATTTGTGAATCCAATTTTATTCAAAAAAATATCATAAATTGTATATTAATTTCTTCCTGCCTACAGTAGTTAGTTAGTTAGTTATTTGGAAAGGGTGGGTTTCCCCATGCACTTAGACCTGTATTGGTCCATTGTGCTTCCCTCTATGATTTCTACCAGTCTCTATATCATACCGGTATTGGTACTTACCATCAGTCCCGCCCAGCCAGCGAGACCGGCTCTACTAGCTGAGAGGTAATAATGCTTCCCCCATCTACCAGAGGTATTAGAGACTGCTGTTGGGCGGGAAACGTCCGTAATTTGGCTCAGTGACCTCCTTAGGAGATATGAGGTTCTTTTACATGCCGTCAAGCTACAACACGGGACCCACGGCTTAAAGTCCCTCCCGGAGGACTTGTTCCCTGAATTTTTCCGCCCTTAAAAATTCGACGACCTCCACCGGGTATTTGAACCCGCATATTACGAGTCATGAGGTGGGAACATTACCTCTAGACTACGGAGGCTGCTCTGCCTACAGTAAGTAATGTTTTCACAACTGCTAGTACAACATACCACCTGCTGCAGACTAACTTTGAGAGGGGTTTATATGTAAGGAGGAGGAACCACATGAATCAAACAACAGAATCAGAAGGGAAGTGTTCAGTGTGAGTGTGTGGATGATATACCAGCCATTTATTTGAGTGAAACCATCTTTCCTTGCAGGATTGGAAAGGTCTGTGACAAGTGTTCAAGGTTGGCCCAATAGGGACATAAGCCTCACCAATTTGTTTGTGAGATGCCAAAATTGAATCTGTATGTTTTTTCTAATCTATGACACGACTGATTTATTAACGAGCAGTGTTAACAAACTCTGGATACACTTGGAACTGCTTATAATTCTATATAGGATTTGAGGTTCTCAGAGAGGTGGCTATGAAGAGTTCTATCTTCTGGGATATAATGCCATGTAGTTCGTTAAAAGTCAACTGATGTTTTGGAAGAACAAGTCGCCTCCATCTTCTGGGTCAAAAAATAAGCCCTGCAAGAAACCAGGTGGCAAACAAAGCCCTTCTCCTCCAGAATGTTGCTTGACTTTTTATAGACTACATGGCATTATAGATCAGAAGACAGAACTCTACTTATTTACCCAAACCAACTGACTCAACCCATAAGCAATTTATCTGTTTTACTGACTGGATGTGCAATTTTAAGAGGAGACAGTATCTCTTACATAATTTACCTGGGAAAAAAAAATAACTGGCATGTCCATCGACCTATTACAAAATATAACATTAAATGAAATTTCATACTTAATTCAAGAGGAGACAGTATCTCTTACATAATTTACCTGGAAAAAAAAAATAACTGGCATGTCCATCGACCTATTACAAAATATAACATTAAATGAAATTTCATACTTAATTCAAGACAGTAAGGTCCCACTATGGCCAATATTCAATTTGGAAAAGTCGCAGTGGTACAACCATTACTTTTGGTGGAGAGGAAATGCCATTACAAAAATTTAGGTTAATTTCAAATGCAGTTGTTAAATATTAATTTGTTCAGTGCTTAACTGTAGCATTGTTATTTGCTTACGTTTTTACCAAGCTGGTCCCTTGGAGCAAGGAACTGAGAAGAAGCATCTTCATCCTTAACAACACCACCATCAAGGATTGTAACTGCTTTTACACCTGCAAGAATGATATTCTTGCAAATTTCTGCTCCAAATCCTTGTAATCCAATCAAAAGAATTCTTGCTTTTCGCAATCTGAAAATAAGCGACATAATAAATTTAAAAACATATAAGCATTCTAGAAAGAAAACCTAACTGGAGTTGCTGGAAGAAAAATTACAATGAGGATTTTCTGATCTTTCACTGATTCGATAACTATAAAAGCTACAAGTATTTATAGAGAGTGAGTACTAACCTTTTCTGTGACTCCAAGCCCCACAAACGAATCTGGCGGTCATACAATTCTGCTTCATCTTCAGTTAGTTCAGATGATCCATCTATTCCAACCATTTTTACGGACAAACATACATTCAAAGCTATCTAAATATCCGCCGGAAGTTACTATGTAGTATTTGGCGTATAAAGGCGAAAGTATAGCCAACTACAACACTATGAAAGTCACTAACGATCACTAAGATCACTAAGATTATTAATACTGACAGTGAACGAGTTATACCGTCACTTATCTTGTGTGTGTGGGTGTTCGTAAAGAGCGTAAAGAGGTCTGGTTGGTGGAATAGTGATGAAAGACCGAACGAGTAAGGCCCGGACTAATTGAAAGTATTTAAAACAATTGTTTAATATGACACCTGACCAAGAAACTGTTGAAAGGACATTTGTATTTAAATTTCCTACGTGCACAACAAAACAAGAATATAAACTAGAAGTGCCAATATATATTCCATACTCTGGTTCAATAAAGGAATTAACACAACGTCTGATCTCTTCATTTAAGCTGCCTTGTTATGTTGAGAAAGGTAGGTTATATCATTTTTGTTATCAGTTTTAGTAATGAAACAAAATGGATTACAGTGTGCTTCTATTTGTTTGGGCATCAAGAGGTCTTATCAGCTGACATTATTGTTTCAAAAAGTGAGATGGCTATTCGGTTTTGCTACTATTTTGTGTTTCAGATCTACAACCAGCTCTAGATACATTTGTGAAGGAACAGACAATTAAGTACTATGATGATGTTTCTGAAAAACTAATCCAGAGCACAAAAAGTGGAGATGTAGATGTTGAGGAAGTAATCAAGAGTTGGGAGAAAGCATTCAGAGAGGTATTGTTTAAAGGGTTAAAGTACTGAATACATACAGCTACTTGCATTTTACAAATTAAGGCAGCAGGTTACTCCAAAACACTGATTGATAAACATCTTCCAGACTCTACAGCTTCACAACTCAGAGGACAATAATCGTAATATTCGTAAGATTCTCTGTGTTTCTGGACTTATGCTCCTCCTTTAGATGTTCTTAATAATGGATTCCATCCTTTTTACCACCATTGTGTTGATGGTGAGTCATATGGTTTTGGAGTCAATTCACATGAGTTTTACTATTGATGGATGTTGACAAGCTGATGAAAGGTATCCTACAATCATCTCCCCGATGTGCATGTTCTTCCCTGATGCAACCACAGAAACTGTGCATGTTGTCTTACATATAGTGAATATGTTTGAATAAATACATAACCCTATTTATTTAATGTAATAAGCTCATGCTCTCACTTATGGTGCAGATTACATGTTACTGGTAAAATTAGGTTAGATCAGTTATGTGAAATTTGAGTTTTTTGTTGTGCTTCCGAGATGTGATGGTATATAGTTTGGTAGGTAGATAACATAGTTTTGAATATGAGACAGTGGGTTCCTCCAAAATGCTAGTACCCATCTACCAACCTACACAGTGTATCATTGATGAAAACAGTGATCTTCTTATATGAGATAGTTAATATTAGTGTTCAAATGAATCCTTAAACCTTGAAGTCATAACAGGCATGTAATATAGCAGAAAATGTGTCCTGTAATAATATATGTAGATGAACTGTTTTCTTACATAAGTCTGGAAGCATTGAAGTTATTGTGTTGGCAGGAAACAGTCGAATATACAGAGCCTCATGGAGCCACAGATGAAGAGTTGTTCTCTACTGTGTATCATAAATTAGTCCATTCACCAGCCCTAGAAACCATGCTACAAGTGGAACACTCATACACACTGGCAGTACGTGAACTAACGGGACAGCGGGATGAACAACTTGCAGCTCTCACACAGAAGTGAGTTTCTGCCATATGCCTTACCTACTTACTTACTTACGGAGCTGAGCCCTTCTTGAGGAGAAGCGAAATCTGCAGCTACTCAAGAATTTCCCAGAATTTTCTGGAACCTGAAGGTTCATTGCCATGTTCACAAGAGCTCTCCGCTGGTCCCTATCCTGACCCAGATCAATCCAATCCATACCATCCCATCCTATCTCTCTAAGATCCATTTTAATATTGTCCACCCGCCTATGCCTTGGTCTTCCCAGTGATATCTTTCCTTCCGGCTTTCCCACCAATATCCTATATGCATTGCTCTCCTCCCCCATTCGTGCTACATGCCTTGCCCACCTCAGCCTCCTTGATTTGATCATTCTAATTATACTTGGGGAAGATTACAAGTTATGAAGTTCCTCATTATGCATTTTTCTCCAACCTCCTGTCACTTCATCCCTCTTCGGCCCAAATATTCTCCTCAACACCCTGTTCTCAAACATGCTCAGTCTATGTTCCCCCCTTAATGTCAGAGACCAAGTTTCACACCCATACAGAACCACAGGCAAAATTATAGTTTTGTATATACTAATTTTTATGTTTTTGGACAGCATATGAGAAGAGAAAAGGCTCTGGACTGAATTGAGTTTCTACCATAAGCTGCATAACTAACTTTCTGAGTCAGAATAAACACTTCTGCTGTGAAGACTCATTCTTGGACACAGTTCTTAGCAAGTGTAGTCCAAGTAAGATTTTAAGTTTTCACTACCAAGTAAATGTAACAGTGTTTTCCTAGGCAGTCTGCCATGTCAAGATTGAATGGATTTCTACTGATCAGCAGTAGCTGAATAGTTCACCAAGAACATACATGGTATGGCAAATTAATAACCTCATCCCTGTGTCACTAGAGAAGCCATTGAAATAATCAAACACCCCTACACTTCAACCATGAAGACAGGTACAATCTGAATGATCTTGTCTCTTTCCAAATGAGGAGGTACCCCCCCCCCACACACACACACACTTGAGGACAGGGGCAGATTCAGCTCCTTAAACCTTGTAGTCTAGTTTATAATATCAGATACTGGATGAAGTCCAGTATGCTAGCAATTCAAAGTGTAACGGTTCATCATCAGAATGCCCTAGAATGGGTATAATTAGAATATTGTTACCCCTTGAATGAAAATTCGGTTGTCGTCCCCATGGTACTCTTGGATGATTAAGGTTATAAACCTAAAAATCATTTAGGACAAATGATTTTTCTTTTTATGTTTATTTTTTATTCTGCACTGATTACAGGCAAACTGAGGAGATGGCACGGGCTGTGGAAGGTGTGCATGTGTACAACACTGAGCAGGATATCAATCAGCTGGCAGCTCACCACTTTGAGGATCAGAATCTGTTGCAGGGGAAGTGGAACAGTGAGGTGGACACTCTGAAGGAGACACAGCGCAAGGAATACCGGGAGTGGCTCATGAAGATGCTTGAAGAACATCAAACCAATGTCACTCTACCAACTCCTATGTATGTACATACGAATCATAGTACATCCTAGAAGGTTCTGACAGTGGTGTATAACGCTCAGAAATACTGGGTTTTTGGACTTTGTCCATCGTCCTGTATCCTAAAAACTAAATTACTGATTGAGGTTACCTCTTTCTAGGGGACCCAACAGAGTAGGTACTTCCCCCTCACCTGTGGATGCTAACATCTAGTTTCTGAAACGCTGTGTTCTCTAGTTTATAGAATACTGGACGATGGACAAAGTCCAAAGATCCAGTAATTCTGAGGAAGCATAGTGTTTTCAATTTGAATTAATTGTGTCTTTCAAATTTGTGTGACAGTATTTATTCTTGTGCTGCAGTGTTATTGATGCAGTGGTGTGACAAACAAATGATACAAGTCAAGAATTTTTTTCAAAATTCTACATTATTGTTTGGTTGCAGAAATTCACCCCTAACTGCATGCCCCCCAAGAATATTTCACAGTGGAAGTCAAGAGGACAATATGCCTGTTCGCCGTCTGGAAGAAAGTTTCACCATTCATCTTGGCTCACAGATGAAACAGATGCACAACATTCGCATACTCTCAGCTGACATGTTGGATTTTTGTCGCGTCAGACCACAAGCTTCATTGGGGTATAGCTCCTGTTAACCCATTTGTAGCAATAAGCAATATAATCTTACTATACAGAATTTTCTTTCCTTGAAGGATATTGTTTACCTGAATATAAGACATTTTGAATGTAAGACAGTCCCTCTTCAGCAGTTATACTTAGAGACTTTTTTTTTAATGTGGAGTCAGGTTTTCTCCTGTCACTGTTTAATTGCTTGACCTTTTTCATTCCACAAGGCTATTAGATTGGCTTATCATATTTGTGTTGCAACTACCACAGTCAGAAAAGTCAGTTCGATGTTAATCGCCCAGTACAGGAATTCTATCAATAGATGGCATCAGTTGTGATATACTGATGTTTAGAAGAAAGACCAGGTTTTCACTTATCTCTATCTGTGGTCATTTGAAGTTAATCTGAGGAAATGTTGTACGCTTCTTTGAGCAGCTTTGGCATTTCTAGCAAGTAATTCTATGGTAGGGGCTGGTAGTTGCAGGTTTAGGCTTACATACTAGCATTTGACAACTTCCTGCTGTAGCATGGGATGCACCGATTAGTAACGCTCAACAGTAAATGTACATGATATGAAAGATGGTGGGCCTGCAGTATGGGCGACATTACCTGTCCTGAAAACATTGTGTGCCTTGTACTACTTGTGATACAGGAATTTGTTCTAGTCACATTTAAAGCTTTCATGGCAGTGATTGTGACTTGTCTTGAAGAATGTTATGCCATGTTGGTATATAGATACCAAGGTTTCAAAAGAATGTGCTGTATTCATCTTCAGGAAAGACTTATAATCTGATAATGGAAACAGTATTATATGTATAAAGGTAGGGCTGGGACTGCAGCTCTGAGTGAACCAAGCAGAATGCTCTTGCAGAACAATCTTTAGAAGGGTCAGTATTCATTATGCTGTTCTTCATAATCCTGTTTGTTACCTGAGCCCCTCATCCACACCAAAGAGGTTGGCATAGAGGTGATGCTGCAGACTTTAGTTTGGGAGGTTCTCCTTTCAATTTTTGGCCAGGAAACCTGCTATTCTGAATGAGATTTTTGTGGTTTTCATTTATCCCCAGAAAAATGCCAGAATAGTACCTCAGTTAGGCAACACCCACTTCCTTCCAAATCCTTCGTGATTCGTGTGTGTTCCTACCATCTAATGCTGAAAATGCCATTAAATAACCCACAGTCCTTCCTTGTCGATATATCCATACCATATCTTCCATGTTTTTCTTACTCTTCTACCATGAAAATGCAGGCAGCAGGTTCCTCCAAAGCATTGGTACCTGTTTCTCATGCAAGAAGACCACAATTTTCATTTTCATGACCATGAAGACCTGAAGTGCTGACCTTGCAGCAAAGACATTTGGTAAATTATGAAAATGTAACACCTCATTTTCTAGCTTCCAGGAGGACAAGAAATGGAAGGAATCACAGTAAATTATATAGATGATGTGTCGCAGGTTTGGTTCCCAATGAGGCCACTGGGTTTTTCAATTCACCTAATGCTTCCAGCCGCACAATCTTCCTGGGGATAAAGGGTGGCTGGTGTATAAGGCTGACAGTCTCACTGCCATCTGTGAACAGATTGTCTAGAAAGTGTGGGAGTCTCATATGTTTAACAACCCTGTGGGCCTCCACAGCCTGTTACAGGGATAACTTTACCTTTTATTTTTTGTATGTGTTTATTCTGGTGTCTCACTGCTTCTTACATCCTGATCCATACACAGAATCAAGCACATTGTCTTGTGTTTAAAACTGATTTATTTTTAATGTTCTGTACAGCGGGCTTGATCCCCAGCCCCAGCGACTTCAAACTGCTCTGAATCTGTATTCAAATGATCTGTATGGACTGGTGCGTCTCACAGATAGCCACATCGGCAGTTACTCAGGCATGAGCAAAGGTGAGATACAGTAAAACCCCCATATAATGAAAATTAGGGATCAGTATTTTGGATTTTGTAGGATTTCATTTAGAGAAGTTTGATTAATTTCAAATTTCATTATGTTCTTTGCACAAAATGCATAAAATGAACATATTGTAGGGAGGCCACAACTTGTCTGTAAGTCTACATGTTTAATTTCTAGTATTACTCAATTGATTTTGTTGAATTTTGATATTTGAAGTCGGTGTTAAAATTTGTCATCTGAATTTGATTTTGGTCCATATCTGTCCAATATAGACATCACTTAAACCGTTTACACCATGGAACATTTTCCTAAGTAATGACCATATACCATCAGATTTTTGCCAAAATAGATTGAAGCTTTTTGGATACACTACATATCAGTATTTCTGGTGAAGGAGGCCAGTATGACAACACCTCACATATGCCCTTAGAGGTGTGAATGGGAAATATGGAACCAAGGAAAGACTCCATAGCACCTGATGGATAGGAAACTGGTCAAACCTCAGATTTGGTCTAGATGCTTTAGAGAAAAGAAACATTTCTTGCCACACTAGAAGTTGGATCACAATTCCTCAGCTGTCCAACTCATTGGCAGTTGCTATATGTAATGATACATTTTATCTCACGTATATGAACATAAAGGGCAGTGATGTATTAAAAACAGCAAAGAACGCATTTGGAAAATATGTCACTCCATTCTGCAGTCTGCATTTCCTTTCTTCTCTTACCCTGTACTTTTTTTAAATTATGTGAGGAATTCTAGGCCTGATTAAGATATGGTTCCCTTTTACAGTCATCATCATTTCAATAGGAATTGTAGAGTAAAAGCAAAAGGTAAAATTGTTGCCATATTTAATTAACCTCTGCACACCAGAAGCCAGTTAAATTGGCTCTGGGTATTTCATTTATTTATTTATTTATTTACTTCATATCCATGGATCATTATACATGATATAGGACAAGTCAAATACTTTACAATACAATAAATGATAATAATATACTAAGATAATAATAAAATGATGATTCTAATAATAGAACTGATATAATCATTTAACACACGACACTGCTGTATGCCTCAATACCCTATCCTTCTATCCCGGCACAAATACCCTGGTATCCTCGATCTTGTTCCTGTAAGAAAAAATACAGAACAGGGCAGTGGGCATTCCTATAACACATACTAATATTAAAATCTACAAGTTAATTATTCTTGAAATATATGTTTACAAGTGATTAGAACTAGAATTTGTCCCCAAACAAGAGAAACCCGTCCATACTATAGAAACAATGATCAAGTAGGAATGTCTTCAAAGTTTTTTAAACTTGTATAGTACTGGTATCTGTTTAATATATTGTGGCAACTGATTTAACATACAAAGTCCATGAAATTATTATTGTATAGACTCGTATTACATGGTACTATGAACAAGTCATCTTTTCTCCTTGTATTGTATGAGTGTATGCCTGAATTGGTTATGAAAACATTCAAATTGGTTTTTATGTAAACTAGAATTTCATATATATACAGACATGGTAAAGGTAATATATGTAACGATTTAAAATATTATTTACAACTAATGGTTTTCGGGATTTGTATCATAGCTCTAATAGCTCTCTTCTGCAACCTAAAGATCAATTTTACATTTGCTGAATTGCCCCAAAATATCAATCCATATAATAACAAGGATTGAAAGTAAGCATAATATAAGGTGCGAACAGTCTCTAACCCTGATATTCTTTTGACTATTCCTAAGGCAAAACATATTTTACATAATTTATTTGCTAGTTGAGTATGTGCAGACCACCTTAGATTCTTATCCAGCCAAACTCCCAAAAATTTTGTTATGTTCTGTATAATTGATGACTGTATCATATAGCTTTATTGAAGGGCATTCAACTTGAACTTTTTGAGGTTGATGAAAGGATATTGCTATTGTTTTTTCTTTATTAATAATTAATCTGTTCCTTTCAAACCACTCTGTGGGTGCATTTATTGTTTTATTTATGTTCCTTTGGACATCATTAGCACTATTTCCTGCTATAAGAAGACGAGTATCGTCGGCAAGAAACGTTGGTCTTCCATGTTCAATGCTGGCTTCTAGATCATTGATATATAGCAAAAACAACACTAGTCCGAGAACAGAACCTTGTGGGACTCCATGTCTTATGGGTCTCTTTCGCGAAAGATTGTGATTTCACTAATTTCTTTGCATCTGTATGTAATTTCCACTTTTTGTTCCCTGTTTTATAGATATGACTGAAACCATTTTAGTGCAACCCCTCTTATTCCCATTATTGTCATCTTCCTTAGCAATATATCATGATAAACTAAGTCAAATGCCTTTGACAGATCCAGAAATATCCCTATACCTAATTCCCTCTCATCGAGTGATTTGTAGACCCTTTCTATAAACTCTGCAGTTGCAGTATTTGTTGATTTCCCTTTACAGAAACCATGCTGCTTATTGTTAAGTATGCTGTGATTGTTAAAAAATGATAAAAGTCTTTTATGTATGATTTTTTCAGTTATTTTTGAAAAAACAGAAATTAGTGAAACTGGTCTATAATTCCCAACTTCTGTATCACATCCTTTCTCATATAAAGGTTTCACTTTCACAATTTTTAGTTGATCTGGAAAATGTCCAGTTGATAGTGAGAGATTTATTATATTGTATATGTCAAGGCAGTTGTTATTTTAGGATAACATCTTTTTAATGATATACTCTGGAATATCATCTATTCCCGTTGATTTGTTATTACTCAATCCTTTAATTATGCCTGCCACTTCCTCTTCAGTAGTTGGAGTTAAGAATATGCAGTTACTGTTATATTTTACTGTATTGACATTAACTTCACTGGTTTTTGATAATGGATTGCCACTCAATATCTTTTGGGCAATACTGGTATAGTATTCATTAAAGACATTGGCTATAGCTTTTGGATCCTGTATACTTACTCCATTCTTGCTTATTTCAATATTCTTCACTGCTTTTTTCTGTTTACCTAGTTCCTCCTCAACTAGGTCCCACATGGCTTTTGATTTATTCCCTGATGCTCTTATTCGCATGTTATTAGTTAATTTTTTTGCTTCACAGATAACTTTGTTGTATATTTTTTGTAATGAAAATAGTATTCTTTAAATTCTTCTGGCATATTTCCTTCTTTCATTAGACTATTAAGAAACCTGAATCTATTCCCCAATACCCTTATTCCTGAGGTAACCCATTTATTTTCCTGCTGTTTAGTTTTTACCCATTTTTTAGCCATAGCTATATTGTAATAATACTGTAAAGTACCTAAAAATTCATTATATGCATCGTTCACTGAATTTTGCTTAAAAACAAGCTCCCAAGTCTCTTTTTCTAGTAGATAGTTTATGTATTGTACATTCTCTTCCCTGTAAGATCTAGCTATTCTGTATTCTTCCTTTAGTCTAACTTGACCCTTTTTATTCTTATACTGCATATGTATTTGTAGTATCTGTGCTTTATGTTCAGATTATCCTGTTTCAATCACCTTAAGATTGTATCCCCATAAGCCCTTGTTCAATATTATTTGATCTATTGCTGTTTGACTTCTAGGTCCTATTCTCATTGGGACATCAACTATTGCTTGCAGCTATATGAGTATAATATTGTCTGTAGTTGTAGATTATTATTCTTTCTAGGAAATCTGTGTTGAGATCACCTACGATAATGATGCTCTTCCCTTTGTTTATTAAGTTACTAATTATTGTGTCCATAGTTTCAATAAATATATTAATATTACTACCATAGCTGAAGAGATTAGCTTGTTGGTTATCAATCAGTACAATGTATCTACCAATAAGTGTCATCAAGAGTAATGCAGTGAGTTTTAGACAAATGAACAGGCTTTCAAATGATCTGTACATATGGTCATTTGAAAATAATCTGAGCAGTTACTTGGGTTTATCTGTGCAGCTGTGTTTACTTCCAAACATTCTTTGTGTTTGTAGCAAGTGGTTCTGTGGCAGGGCTTGGCATTCAAAGGGTTAGGCACCACTTTATGAGGACAGAAGGGTGGAGGTATAGCTCCATGAGGTGAGTGGTTAACTTGGTACCCCAGCTGCTTAATTCTTGGGGAATAAAACACAGGTAACCACTGGAGAGGAGGGGAGTGGGCCTCAGAGCTGGTCTGGATGTGGTAGAGAGAAGAGAATCTCTGCCCCTGGAGGAACTGAACTGCAATATCCTGTAGCCTAGGCACTATGCAGACTGAGCTATTGCACGTCCATTCGGGCTAGTATTACCGTTATATGTGGCACTGAGAAGTGGAATACATCATTACAGGTGCTGACAGAAGCTGAGAAGGTCAGCTGGACCTTGACTGGAGGCCAGAATAATATTTTCTCTACTGTTAATTTATTCAAGGACGGCACAAAGATCAGATAGTTTCACTTGCTAATATAACATCACCAAACTTTTCACTCACAGTGTGTTTTTACTATTTTCAGAGTTCATTGAAGTGTGTCAACATTCAACAGAATTTCACTTCCCATCGATTGATGATCAGTTGGAGAAGATTCGAGATGAGGTGAAGGAGGCAGTGGCATGGCGGCAGCCCCACTGGGGTTGCAGCACTGGTAGCGAGCATCTGGTGGCCCTTACCTCATCAGAACAGCAGGTGTGGATTTTATAAATAGAGCCAGGAACACAATGAAGTGACAGGAGGTTGGAGAAAACTGCATAATGAGGAGCTTCATAACTTGTACGCTTCTCCAAGTATAATTAGAATGATCAAGTCAAGGAGGATGAGGTGGGCAGGTCATGTAGCATGAGTGGGGGAGACGAGGAATGTGTATAGGATATTGGTGGGAAAGCCAGAAGGAAAGAGACCACAGGGAAGACCGAGGCGTAGGTGGGTGGACAATATTAGAATGGATCTTAGAGAGATAGGATGGGATGGTATGTATTGGATAGATCTGGCTCAGGATAGGGACCAGTGGAGGGCTCTTCTGAACACGGTGATGAACCTTCGGGTTCCGTAAAATGCTGGGAAGTTCTTGAGTAGCTGCAGAAGGGCTCAGCTCCATGAGTAAGTAAGTAAGTGAGTAAGCCAGGATCACAAAACATACAGTAAAGTACATATAGGTAAACATTTGTATGATAAGTTTCTTATCCAAAATTGTCTCAAACAAAGAGGTGCTTCTGCCCTTGCATTTCATCTTTGCTTTAGAATATGTCATTAAGAAGGTCCAGGAAAACCTGGTGGGCCTGAAATTAAATGGAACATATCATCTGCAGGTCTATGGTGATGATATGAATCTGCTCGGTGCTAACATAGATACCACAAAGAAAGACACAGAAACTTTAATTGATGCTAGTAAGGAGGTTGGTCTAGAAGTAAACACAGAGAAAACTAAGTACATGTTGCTGTTTCACTACCAGAATGCAGGGCAAAATAATGACATAAAGATAGGAAACAGATGCTTTGAAAATGTGGCACAATTAAATAATTTGGGAATGACAGTAACAAATCAAAACCTGATTCATGAGGAAGTTAAGAGGAGATTGAATTTTGGTAATGCTTGCTACCATTCAGTCCAGAACCTTTTGTCTTCTCATCTGCTGTCTAAAAACATAATAATTAGAATATACAAAATTATAATTTAGCCTGTGGTTCTGTATGGGTGTGAAACTTTGTCTCTCACATTAAGGGAGGAACATAGACTGAGGGTGTTTGAGAAGAGGGTGTTGAGGAGAATATTTTGGCTGAAGAGAGATGAAGTGACTGGAGGTTGGAGAAAACTACATAATGAGGAGCTTCATAACTTTTACTCATCACCAAGTATAATTACAATGATGAAGTGAAGGTAGATGAGATGGGCAGGGCATATAGGACAAATGGGGAAAAGAGGAATGCATCTAGGACATTGGTGGGAAAGCCAGAAGGAAAGAGCCACTGGGAAAACCAAGATGTAGGTGGGTGGATAATATTAAAATGGATCTCACCTTCAGTCAGTGCTGAGATCAAGAAAATGTGGATCTATACATCCACTTCCTTATACACCTTCATGGCGTAGTGCAGAAAGAAAAATTAGAGAAATAGGATGGGATGGAATGGATTGGATTGATCTGGTTCAAGATAGAAACCAGTGGAGTGCTCTTGTAAACATGGTAATGAACCTTCGGGTTCCATAAAATGCTGGGAAGTGCTTGAGTTGCTGCACAATTGGCGGCTTCTCAAAGTAGGCTACACAATAACAAATGCTGAGTCATAACTGGTAAAAAGGTAAAAAACATAAAGCTATCCTGTACCAGGCCATGGAGGCCCATAGGGTTGTGAGATGTTGAGGCTCCCACATTTTCTAGACAGTCGGCTCACAGATGGCGGTAAGGTTGTCAGCCGTTAAATGCCAGCTGCCCTTTACCCCCCAGGAAGATTCCTGGTACTAATTTCTGTTAGAGGCTGAGTTGACCACAAGGCCATAGTGTGGCTGGAAGGATTACGTAAATTGAAAAATCCACCTCATCGGACTCGAACCTGTGACCTCCTGGTTTGTAACATAGTGCCTCAACCAACTAGACTACCATGTACCCCCAAGTCATAATTTGACTTTTGATTTATCTTTTGTGCTTTTATAGTCCCGGCGCTCTGGGTCAACAAAGAACCTGCAGACAGGAGATGTATATATCACACGACATTCCAATCTGGCTGAAGTTCATGTCATATTCCACATGGTGGTGGATGATTCACTGAGATCAAGTAAGCTTTATTTTACATTTACCCGTAAAGAAAAGATGTATTTTGTACCAGTGTACAGTTAGTATATGCAATGTGTCCAGGTTCTGTTAGGACTATGTTCATTAAAAATACAAGACATGAATTATTTTCAAAACTTCACTCTTTTTATTCAAAATAGTCTCCTTCTGAATCACTACATAGCCGGAATTGATTGAAAAGTTTTCAAAACAGTCACTATACTCCTTTTGTGGAATCGCATTTCAAACTGCGGTACATTCCCTTTGGATGTCCTGGATGGTGTTGTGACAGTCTCCTTTCTTTGCCAACTTAACTTTTGGGAACAACCAGAAATCTGTAGGAACCAAATCTGATGAATACGGAGGATGATCAAGGACTGTGATCCCTTTTCTGGCCAAAAAATCGTGCACGATCTTTGATTTGTGGAAGGGGCATTGTCGTGGAGGAGCGACCAGGAACCTTGCTCTCAATATTCAGGTTGAATTCGAAGAATTCTCGCCCACAAACGATTGAGGACTCCAAGATAATAATCAGAATTCACTGTTTGACCTTCTGGCAGAAATTCCTTGTGAATGATTCCTTTGGAATCGAAGAAAACGGTTAGCAGTGTCTTTACTCGACTCTTTTGCATGCGCACTTTGTTTGGGCTCAGCCATGCTGCACTCTGCCGCTTTGTGAGAGGTTCATATTGAAAACACTATGTCTCGTCACCAGTAACAATGAATTTTGTAAATTTTATATCACTTTGGGCCAACCATAACATGTCTTTGCAGTGTTCCACTCTGGCATGTTTTCCATTGCCTGACAGCGTGTGCGGTGCAAACCGCGCACAGACCTTCCGTTTGCCCAAATCCTTGGTCAAAATTTGATGCACAGTACTTTTTGGTATTCCCAAAAGCTCCTCAATGAGTCTTGCAGAAACACATCTGTCTGATGCAAGGATTTCGGTCACTTTTTTCACATTTCTTCAGTGCGACTTGTTCTCGGTTTTGATTCCTGTGGAGTGTCTTCAGTGTCCTCCCTGTCGTCACAAAATACAGCATACCATCGAAAAGTGTTCGAGCGGCCCAAACAATCACTACTGTACACACTTTTCATAATTTTGTATGCATCTCCAGCTGTTTTGCCTAACTTAAAAAAAAATTTGATGTTGGCTCTCTATTCAGCTGCCATTTTCCGACAAGCATCAGAACAGTACTGTTACATTCAAGGTCAGAACACGTGATGCAGCGATGCTTGCACTTTGAAATTATAGACAGCCACAGTTGAAACTTCAAGAATCTTAATGACACAACTTGCCAAAAGATGGCATTGCAGGGCAAAATTTGAAAAATGAGTCCTAATGGATCCTAGACACACCAAGTATGTTGGTAAGGTAAAGATATCCCTGTAACAGGCCATGGAGGCCATTAGGGTTGTGAGATATCTAGGCTCTCACATCTTCTAAACAATCGACTGACAGATGGTGGTGAGGTTGTCAGCCTTACGTGCTGGCTACACTTTACCCCACAGGAAGATTCCTGGTACTCATTTCTGTTAGAGGCTGAGTCGACCCCAGGGCCATAGTGAGGCTGGAAGGATTAGGTCATATGAAAAATCCAGTGACCTCATCAGGACTTTAATTATGACCTTCTGGCTTGTACGTAGGTCGTACCAAAAGTCATAAGCAATTTTTTTTTTTTGCATGCAACCCGGGAACAGCAGATGAAAGAGAGTACAGTGGTAGGTGGAACCAGCTGTTGTGTTAACCTTGAGTGTCTTGTGACATCAATAGCTTGCATCACGTGACCAGTATCACTCCTAACAAAATGGCCGACAACGATATGTCGTTTCACCAGAGTGCTGTCATTGAATTTCTTGTGAAAGACGAAATCCCTGCTGCAGAAATTCATCAGAGACTTCAGCGTGCTTATGGAAGTGTGTGCATGGGTGCGAGCAGTGTTCGATGATGGGTGAAACATTTTAAAGATGGGAACACCAGCATCGAAGATGAGCCTCGGAGCGGTCGTCCTCGCACAGCCTCAACTGAAGGCAACAAGGAAATAGTGGATGAGGCCATTTTGTTAGGAGTGATACTGGTCACGTGATGCAAGCTGTTGACATCACAAGACACTCAAGGTTAACACAACAGCTGGTTCCACCTACCACCGTACTCTCTTTCGTCTGCTGTTCCCAGGTTGCATGCAAAAAATGTTGCTCATGACTTTTGGTACGACCTATGTATTTCTCTGTCATTGCAAAACATCTTATGTACGTAAGTTGTTCATTGTAGTGAAAATTAAGTTCATTAAGTTAAAAGTAGGTACAAATTAACATGTTTCATTTTAGCAAAAATTGTGAATCAAGCATTTATAAAATGAGGAATGCCTTTGTATTTCTATTTTTGAGAGGTATTTTAAAACACTTTCAGTATGCTAGGCTGTATATCATAAAATGGTAGGATGATAGGTGAATGATAAATTGGAAAGGATTTCGAAAAAAGGTGGTTATAGCCTGACTGAGATTCTTTCTCAATCTTTGCCTGAAGGGGCAAAAGAAAAGGAAGGATAGCCAGTGTCCCAACATATGTTGGAAGTGAGGACCTCCCAAAGACAAGTCAGAAGAATTACTGCAAGACAAACCTGTTAGTATATACTGCTGATGTTTTGGAGATATTTTTTTTTTTAATTCGCTTAGTGGGGGGTGGAGTCCAATTGGGTGCACTTGGTACGGCAGCCACTGATTGGCCTATTGTAGCCTGCTCTGGGTGATTATGATGATGGAGAATTTAGTGGAATGAAGATTGGCAGGGGGAACCGAAGTACTCGGAGAAAACCGTTGACAGCTGTAACATAGGATAAATATTGTCACATGTTTGGAATCCAGAAGGGTTACTTCCATGGAAATGCTAGAACAGACCGTTGCATAGGAAGTAACAATAGCGGTATTGTAATCCTAACAGTGAGCCGTTGCGTAGAGAATNGGTTGAAGGCATCTGCCAAGTCAGTTGGAACCTAGACACCACACAATATAGAAGAAAGACAGCAAGAAGTCAGTATTGGGATAGCCGTCGCCGAAGCCAGTTGAGATCCAGCCACAGCCAAGGACAGTATAAGCATTGAAGTAGAGACAAAAGTCAGCGATACTGCGAGTAATAATAATTGTAAGGTGTGTAAGTGTGAGTGTCCAATAAAGATTCGCTAAATCCAAGACCCACGTAAAGTTATTTGTCGCATAACGTACCCAACACGTGACAATATTATAAACACAACAGGATGCAATCTATAAACTGAATTTTTCAATATGAGACTATGCTTGATAATTTTCAGGAAGCGAGGACTGTTTTAACAATGGACATTATTCCTAGAAATAGGTCAGTAACGTAAAGTTGTACCTGTGCTTAATTGAGCACCACACTGTGAAGGAATATAGGGGAGTGGAGGTGTAGCTTCATGCTTTCTTCACTTAGGATGGAGGTGGGTGGTTGCCTCTTGCTTGCCACAATTTATTGACTGGTGTAAATTAAGCTCTGAACTGGCAGTGATCTGTAGACCATTGAAAAACAGTGCTTGTATATCTCTTTTCAGATGATATTAATTCCAGACATCCTGTAATCTTGGGATTACGAAATATCCTGAAGATGGCTTGCTCCAATGACATCACAACCCTAACAATACCAGTTCTGTTGATGCATGAGATGAGGGAGGTAATTCATAATACAGATATTATCTGACATAAACTCATCAAATTTCTGAGCAGACATGTTTCATTCCTGTAACTCATAGATTTTTAGAATGTAATAGGTGTTAACTTATTGTCTTACTTTAAAGAAGTTTTGAGACAAAAATTGCAATATGGTAATTAGAATTTTAATTTTTTAAATGCTGTATGTTGGAGGATAGTGGGTTTGGAACGGGACCACTCAGCCTTGTGAGGATAATTGAGGAGCTACTTGAATGGAAAAGTAGCGACTCCGTTCTAGAGAACCAAGATTAATGGCCGTGGGAATGTGCTGCGCTGACCACGCAACACACTCTAACCGCAAAAGTTGGCACTAACTTCTCCGACAAGTGGTGGTTGCTCAGCCGGTATAGTTTGCTTGTGGACTAAAAGCCACGAAGTTTGTTTGTTTGAATTTGTTTTATATGTTGGAAGACCTAAGTTTGAACATGGACCCACAGACCATCAACAATAAACTCCCTGTTGTTCGTCATGTGCGTGGAGTGGGTTGTGCTGGTTACATGAATCTGCATGAGGAAAACTGTTACAGAGAGCCAAGACAATATATTTTTGCCTTAGTTCTTGTGTAGGGGCATTCCTGTGCAACAGTGGAATGACAGATGAATGATTTTTGGTGCATATACTGTAATGTGATCACACATTATGCTGGCCTCTGCTGTAATGGTACCTGCCTGAGGTAAGACAATGGGGCAGCACTGATAGTGGTGGCTGGAAGAGCTAACACATGGCTGGTGAACGTATATAATCACAAATTTGTTATTTAGTAGTACAAAAATTAAAATTTTTATTTGATACTTTTACTGGTTTGATGAGAATTTGAAATGCTTGGATACAAGATAACCAGGAGCTTCTTGTGTTATGATTTGGGTTCTTCCATGATATTTTTCAGTCCCTTAGGACAAGTGCCAGTATTAATACTTATTGATGCCAGTCCTCATTACATAGCCTTGGCACAGATCACATAAAAACACTGCATCCTCTATTGTTGCCTCACAATCTGTTGCCGTGGAGGCATGTTACCATGCCACTGCCTAGCAATGGCTACCTCTGTTCATTCCACTATTCTGACTTTCATCCTCCATGTCACAATATCCTTCCCAGTTATCCTGCCATTTGATGTTATGTGGCCTGTTAAATCAAACAAAAATGAAGGTCATGCCATTGCTTACAGAGTTACATTTGATTGCAGGAGATGACTGTTGCATGGTGCACCAAACGGGCTGAGTTGGTGTTCAAGTGTGTTAAAGGTTACATGATTGAAATGGCATCCTGGGGAGGTTCTGAGCTGAAGAACCTGCAGTTCCTGGTTCCTAAAGTAAGTTCATAAGAAAGCTGAACGAAAGGAATAGGGGCTATGTTACTGAAGCTATGAAACTTCGGGACAGAAGCCCAAAATATTGAGGTCTCTGTGGATCTGAAGAACATTAGTTTCTCAAGAGTTGTTACAGTAGTGTACAACACTTGGGGCCACTGGGTTTTTGGGCTTTGTTCATTGTCTTATGTTCCAAAGCGTTGTATTCTTTAGAATACCAAACAAAGTCCAAAAACCAAGTACATAATTCCAACTGAAGAAAGTTGTAAGTTTGCAGACAAACATTTGATATCTGAATTTTTAAATGAAAAGGGTCAGTTAGAAAGGAATATGGTTTGCACTAGGAGAGTGTGTTTTGATTGACTTTGTATAAATCTCGAAGGTTCAGCACTGCTGATAACACCACAAAACCTATTTGCTTAATATCCATCTCACTAATTATCTAACCCGAGCAGCAGAGCCTGAAGCTCCAATGCTGCTAATGCCAACGCTCACTGTTGGACACGATCCTGAGCCAGTTCCATCCAACTAATTGGAAAATGGACTCAGTGCGATGTGATAATGCATGCGTTGTGGGTAAACCATTCCCCACAGTGACAGCTGCTGCTGCTGCTGCTGCTGCTAGGGGCAACAGGTCAGTAAACACTTCCCTGCAGTGATGCAACAGCAGAGGAGCTGTGCTAGACAACGAGACGGTAAACACTTCCCCCTATGACGTAACAGTGGACCCTGTTGCTGCTAGGGCAACAGGCAACAGTATAAGAAGCCAGCTGAGGACCGAGCATGGCAGTTTGTGTTAAGAGAAGCCAGAGTGTGTGTGTTGTGTTGAGAGAAGACAGTGGAAGCCGAACGGAGGCAGTGTGTGTCGACAGAAGCCAATGGTTAGCCAGTGTGGAGAGCAGAGCAGTTCTACAGTCTAGTGCGAGTTAATAACATGAAAGGAGCGACTGTGAAATGACTTGTTCAGCATTTTGTGTTATAGTTACGTTGCATTGCAGTTACGGCATTGAGTAATGAAGTGACTTTGCAAGAATACTCCTCGAGGTCTTGTTTTACGACACATCATCTATCTTCAGAACCTTGTTGTCCACCCGTTACCTCCTCAGCCATCCAAGTGGCCACTATTCGAGCAGTTTTCACACCAAAATACTGAACTCTATATCAAACACGTTATAACCTTTTTCATTTCACCTTCTTAATGACATGTGGTGACGTGTATAAATTATGATTCTTGCTCCATAATATCCAAAATCCATGTTAAATTGGTTCCTTGTTAACTGTGCATGGTGCATCCTCAGGTTGCAGATGGAGGAGATTGCTGTTGGATATGAGGGGTCACTGTGATTGTATTGAACAAGCAGTTACCTATACCCAGAAAGGGTTGCTTGGTCCTTCAGCTTGGGAATTAACTGTACCCATAGGGCAAATAACCTTCATGAAGAAATTGTGACCAAACAGCTTGGAGCATCGGTAATGCTGTAGTCTCCCCTCCAGGAGAATGAAGGATAGTACCTCAATGAACATTTTATTCCAAATCCTTTTGAGAGCATTGGAAAATAATCCATGAAAAGAAAAGAAGGAAGTTCTATTTTAGGAAACTTTAAACAGAGCCCTTGAATTTAACAGAATCTTTGGTATGAACCAGATGTCCAATCCATACTTGGAGAAAATATATAACAAGAATGTTGTCCCCCATCCATTTTTACGCCCTTTATTAACAGAAATTCTTTTATGTTTTCAGGGTATATCTGACGAAGTATTTGGAACTCTGGCCACCATGTTGCCAAGTATATTCCGTGTGTCTAATCCACTTGTCTTCAAAGCATCATCCTCAACACCACATACACCGAAAAGTGGATAAGCAGTTTGAGTGCAGCTTCTCCTTAATTTATAGCTTTGCTTGTTTATGATGTACAAAGAAATAAAAAGGTATTTTGCAAACTGGAGAAATTACATTTTCCTTTTAATAATTTCTGTTGTTGTCATTGTTGCTGCTGCCACTGCCATCTCTGGTGTTGTGGCGGTGCTAATGGTGACCAAAACCTCCAGTTATGATCTGTTTCAGTGTTTTTCAGCAAGTGATCTGTGGACCACTGCCAAATGTAATGATATTGTCACAATGAGGAGGTTTTACAGCTTGCTATATTTTGAAAGATGTTATGCTGTGTGGTCTAGTAGAAGTTTACTGCAATTTCAGAGGAACATGCTATCTCCATCTTGAGGGTCAAAGAGTAAGTCAAGCAAGCAGAATTTTTACTCCAGCAGATACACCCTTCAGAGAGGGACAAGCAGGACCATATTACATATTTCCTGTCCTCTTGTGCGTAAATAGTAATTGAGAATAGGCAATATGGGTGATTATGGCATTCTTTTTCATTTTAATATAAATGTGAAATTTTCTACAGGAAGTAGAAAAAGTAAAGTTATCTCTGTGCTTAACTAATTGAGCATTACAGCGTGGGTGTATGGGGGAGTGGATGTATAAAACCACATTTTCTTGACCTTGACACTAGTTGAAGGTGAGTGGTCAGCTTACCCCTGGTACCCATTGGATAGGGGGCTGGTTTGGGCCCGGAGCCAGTCTGGATGACCTGGAAGCTGAAAACAAGACAGCAAAGGAGAAATGGCATCTTGATTTACTGAAACTGGCTACAGACATTCAAGTGATATGCTCACAACTATGCTGGTTGGTCACACCTGTTACACAAAATAAAGCAAATCATTTTATCATGGATTATGTACTCATTTCATGTAATTTAATTTCTCTCAAATCTGATGATTCTTTGCAACGACTCAAACAGAGCATTGAATACTGACTGTTCTCCACTGTGATGTTTCCAGAATTCATTTTGATGTCAATTTGTAGTCATATCTGTTTCAGCCTATGGACACTGGGCATCTCATATTTCTTTCTCTGACAAGAAGCGATATCCGCAGTCACTGCACTGAGATACTGGTGTGGCAGAGCGAGATGTCCCTCCATTATAGCGTCGTCAGCCTCAGCGTGCCCCTGGACATTCTCGTACATAGGCATTACATGATAGTGTCTGCATCGAAGCCTTGTTTCTGGGTGTCTGGCAGCAGCACAAAATAAAGTTCCTGCATGAGTTAGATCGTTGTCCAAATGCACGTTACAGGATGGTGTGCTAAAGGTCGAAGTCAATATTTTGAGGTCAGACAGTATATCGAAGGATGTGTATATATCAAGAGACCAATATATTGTCACGTAGTGGCTGATTTGATTTATTACACTTATACACTCAACTTGTAATTACAAGTAATACAACACTGTCACTGATCTACACATTTTACAGTTCACCGTTGCACACTCATTAGTGTTTTCAGTCTTCAATTGTCATATCCTGGAAACAGATTTCAACATAGTAACTATACCAGTCTCATCGTAACTGCAGCATGCATGAAGTGTTCTTTTCACAGCCTAATTCCTTTCTTGCCATCTCTTCTCAATCATCTTCGACTGCCATCTTGAGAAAATCCCTCAATTCTATTTCAGCCGGTCTTTGGTCCTCGTTCCAGTCAATGTTGCATGTTAGTAGCAGCTGTAAGGATTCAATTTATTTGCAACTTGGTTACTGATGGTTATCATTGGTAGACTGTAGGCTCACATATGTAATATTTCCTTCATGAAGCCTTAGTAATTCTTAAACAGAGTGAAAGTAGATTTCTTGCAATGTATAAACGTTATATAATCCACCCACCCACCCATCTACTCCTGTTGCTCCCACTTCAAGCATAGGGCATCCATGAAATGCTTCGTTTCACTTCAGTTTCTTAATCTTAGACAATCGGTAGGACTTCTTGGACTGGGGATCGGCCTGATGCAAGGCCTTCATGGAGTAGTGCTTAATCAAGTACAGACGCAACTTTACCTTTTACTTTTACCCCTGGTTGGAAGGTCACTAACTCTTTCACCTTGACATAATATTTCTTCTCTTTTATCAGTGTGACTCTGTTGTTCTCCATAAGAACCTCATATGCTTCTCATAAACGGTCGTTCAATATATCAGGGTGATGCTGGATCGAATCTCAGTTAATATCTGGGTCATCGGTCCCTTGTATACTGATATCCAAGTCGGCCTCAATAAGTAGCCTCGTCGCTATCTCTTTCTGGGCAACGGCTGGGTAAACAAGTTCTAATTCATAGGCAGTAGATTCTTAATAATGCAACAGTTGGAATACAACAATGGAAGAGCTGTGTTTTCTACATGGTCCGTGCCGAGAGGTTATAAGCAGGACAAGGTTAGAGCTCATTTCTGTACAGCAGTCTGTGAAGAGATGACTTGAGCTGGATGCAAAGGAATAGCCATTGTTGGAGCCGTTACTAGGAAACGTATAGTAACAGACTGAGAACACTTGACTGTGTGCTCTACTGATTTATAAAGTGTGGAAATCAGCGATAGTGTTAAGAGTTATTTATGGTTACTCCCTGTAAGTAGTCACTACGTGACAATATCTGGAACTATCTCCTGACAGTAGGAGTCAACTTCTTTATACAGAACCTCTCGTGTGAGAACAACTTCTCAATTATCCACGGAATTCTTTTTTTTTTTCTTCTTCTTTTACAGAAACAGACGTAATATTACGAGAAAAACCGCCAGCGTTCACATAAGATTTCCCGCTGTTATGTTGAGTTTCAAATTGATATTCGCCCAATTTCAACCACCATCTAGTAAGACGAGCACACTGGTGATTCTTGACCGTAATTAACCATTTCAGACGAGAGTGATCAAGTTACAACCTTGAACTTTCTCCCATAAAGAAAATATCTATGAATCTGTATACTGAACACAATTGCCAGTAATTCCTTCTTTGTTGTACTGTAATTACGCTCAGCTAAGTTGAATATTCGAAACTAATTGGTTGTCCTTGTCGATTTGAAGGTGACTCACAATGGCTGTTTTTGCGTAATTGGACGCGTCGCAACTTAATATGAAGAACCGGTCATATCTTGGGCGCGTAAGAATTGAATCTGATGTTTGTGCAGCCTTCAGATCTTCAAATGCTTTTTGTTCCCTCCGCCCACACGAATTTCATATTCTTTTTAGTTAGTTGGTTCAAGGCCGCACTCATTGTGGCGTATTACGTAATGAAGGAATAGAAATACCCTCTTTATATATAACGGCATTATATATTACTAAAGAAACCTGTATTCCATTCGTGCCAGTTAGAAAACCAAGTCAAATACCTGATGATGGTTCAATGAACCGTAACATGTCGTAAAAGAAAGACGAATATATTGTCACGGCATAGGGGTTTTGCGTGACATAGACTGGTCTTGAATTTGATTACTAAATTTATTGACACCTTATACACTCAACTAGATAAGTACAATTAATTATAAGGCTATGGCTATTTCCACACTTTACAGTTCACTGTTACACACCCTAGTGTCCTCAGTCTGTCACACTCTCCACTAGTACGTTTCCTGGCAACGGATTCATAACAGTCTCACCATAACTGCAGCACACTATGAAGTCTTCTTTGTACAGCCTAATTCCTTTTTTGCCTCTATTCTGTGCCAAATGCCATCTCCGGAATCTCCCTCAATTCTAAGCCTAGGGTCAGAATCAGGGTTAATTTACGATTGGTGGTTTATCACCCATCAGTTCGTCTTGGTGACAAGCCCCTTGAGACTCATGACCAGTAATTTTATTTTCCAACTGAACCCTTGCGGTTATAGTTCTTATGTAACATATCTGTGACGAGAAGGTGGGTATGTCGTTTGCAGTTACTCCTGGTCCTCGCCAGCGCAGTCATTCACAAATCAGAGTCCCGCATGACTCATGACCACATTGTACTGCCTCAGATTCGAGACCCCGCCCCCAACCTGGAGTGCCTGGTGCCCATATTTTTATCCCGCAGGAACAGGGTGGGCCGGTTGTACCCCCAGACACTGGGTTCTCTTTCCGTCGCCTCCTGCGGCTCGCACGGCTACGATGGAGGTACTCGACACGGGAGTCAAAGTAAAAGTCACATTGCGACTGACGGTCAGTTAGTCAGAACATCTTGTACTCTTTGTGGTCGGATAAAATTTCTAATTGCACCCATCAAGTTCGAATCCGAGGTAATACCTTCTTTTTGCAATTATGAGTACGATTATGTTGCCTTCTACTACGTGCCCATCTTTCCCGCTATAGCTTTTCCCCTTGAATTAAGTTCTCCAGGTTTCGTCGGCAAGGCCCCTGTTCCCTGTAACTCAGCTAATTCTTTCTTAATGTACACCTTGCTCACAACATTAACAGCGTTTCTCTCCTGCAGTATCCATTTCCACTGGCTTCACCAGCAATTCCTGCGGGACATTGTCATCTTTATTTCCACAGTCCTCTCTATTATCATCATCTGCGACCGTGGAGGTAGGATGACCGACCCTGGAACCACAACGGTCCAGCTACGGCTGTCGGGCCCTCCAGAGTTCGACTCTGGGGACGGTCTGCACCGCTCATGCGTTCGTAGCTTTCGTTTCAGGGGTAGCCAGTCCTATCGGCGATACCTTACGTCCTGCGGCTGACACTGAGGGCAAGCGCAACGCTCAACCCTATGTCCTGACAATGTGTACGGCGCCCCCGTGCCTCCATTCGTCTCAGCGGAACGCAACTGCACTCAGCATCTACCCATTCACTCAAAATGTCGTGACTACAGTTTTTTTCCCCGACTGTAAAGAATAAAAGATCGTGTGCCAAGAGTCCTTAGTTTTTTTTACCTGTTATCTTTTTCGCGGGCGTATGAGTAGGTTGTATCTCCTCACCGCTAAGTCCCTTCTTCAGGACGCTTATACATCGCCTGAATGGATGTTTATTTCACCCTATTTCTCTATCTAAATGCAGCTCCAATCCGGCTTCCATAAGGGTAGATGAACTTATTTCTTCGCCTGTGGAAGGTGGGTCTCATCACCGACCCCTCACCGTTTGAGACAAGGGAACATTTTGCCAATTTTGGATAATCG